GGCTTGGCCTTGCCGTGCGCCTGCGCCTGCGCCGCCGCCTCCAGCTTGTAGGCGCCGCTGCTGCTCGCCGGCGACGTGGCGCTCTTGGGCAGCGGCGGCAGCGGGTGCTCCGGCCGCTCGGCCTCCATGGCGAAGCTGACGGGCCGCAGGAAGCAGATGTCCAGGCTGGACTCGGAAGAGGCGGGCGAGCAGTTCTCGAAGAGGGCCGGAGCCTGGAAGGGCTCCTCGTCGTAGGGCGCGGGCAGCGCGAAGATCTCGCCGCCGTACTCGAACTCCTCGTAGCCCGCCGGCACGTAGCCGCGGGCGTCGGGCATGAGCTCGGCCGGGGCGCGCAGGGAGCGCTCCACGTTGCTCAGCGGCTCGGCCGGAGTGGGCTCGAAGTCCATCTCCGGAATGGCCTGCAGCGGCCCGGCCAGCGCCTTCACGTCCTGCTCGGCCGCACAGAACTGCGCCGGCGCCAGGAGGCTCTCGGGCCTCTCGTGCTTTCTGCCCTCCATCTCCCAGTCACTGGGCTTCCCGGGCTGCATGGTCTCCATCAAGCTTTGCTGCTGTTGGCTCTTCTTCACCGGGGGCATCAGATGTCTTTAAAGGGGAAACAATACAAAAGAGGTGTGCCAACGGCGCAAGACTGGGACCAACACATCCTGCCAGCTGCTCTGCTCTCCTCTCCGCCCTTTCCAGGCGCCTACGTGTTACCTACCAAGCTCCGCGAACTTCCCCAGCTAAGGAGTTCCCACGAACTCTTATTCCCAAGCGACAGAGTGGAAATGGCTGGCCGTAAAGCGGATGCCCGAAATTATTCATCTGTGCTTCTCATAGGCGAGGCCAGACTGCGTAGACGTGGCCGGCCGGCCAGGGCCTGGCCGCACCTCCACCTCTCAGTGTCTCAAGGCACCGCTTGTCAACGCTCTTCCCTCCCTTACTTGCTCTAACAGTCATACAAAATAAGGAAAACTCAACTTTTGCTCTACTCGTGGATTTTCACGCTTAAAAGCAAATTCCTGTATGAAGTAAATGTGGCATGAACTCTAAAACTGTTGAAGACTATGTTGGACTCACTGTACTCTTCTGTGTAAATGTGAAATTTTCATAATGTTTAAAAAGAAAAAAATTCCTTGTGACTATAAAGCTTCTACCCACAAAGCATTACCAAAAGGTAAAAGCTGTCACTTTGAATATGCCCACTTTCATGGAGGCTTTTTTTGTTTTTTGGAATCATGGATAACGAATACAAAGCAGGATAGCGTATCTGTCCTACTTTGGGATGTGGTTTCCCAGTTGTGTTGGACTTTAACTGCCAGACATATGTAAATGGACTACTGCACATTGACCAAAAGTGGCTATTCTAGTTAGTATCTGTTTATATTTTAATTCTACCACCAAAAAAAGCAGGAAGAATGCAAATGTAAACTCTGAGTTTCTCACACTGGTAATCTTAAAATGAAAATAAAGTCCCACATTTATAAATGTGGAAAGAAATAGTGAAGCAAAATATTGAGCTGACTCAAATTCTCTTTTAACTTGGACAACTGCTATTGGGTTTGATTTTCCCTACGTGGAGTGCAAGGACAGCCATATGGTTTCAGTCCAGGTATAATCTCTATGTGTAGATTTCATTTTTTGGCTCTATTTGTTGCACATCAAAGAAGATGAGTTGTGTCATTTTCAAGCGTTAAAGTGATTCACAAAGTAAATATCCGCTTTCTGCCTCTTCCCACTCTACGACTGCCCCTAAACATTAGCATCTGGTCAGCTGCTTGGCTGTCACATATAGGCCAAATGGGGCAGTGGGGAAGAAGGAGTCCTGTTGATCATACTCCTGATCCAAACTGGCCTATTAACCCACACAGACTATCTGGGAACCGACAGCATTGTCGTTAACCTTTCCACAGCAACAGGTGCTTACGTGACAGCGGGGCCAGAACTGGGAGCAGAAGGGTAGGGTTGCAGCATCTCTTCTGAGTGGATCCCACTATCACGGACAGCCTCAGGGCCTACAGTGGGGGAAGCATCTTGCCCGGCGTTTGCACACTGGGAAGCCAGCCCTTTGTACAGCTTTGCCAGGGATGACCTAATAGGATGGAAGTAATAATTCTCAGGTTGTGCAGTGGGAAACTAGCTCCCTGAGCACACAGATTATGCCAAAAAAGATATAGTTGTCTCTCAGATGAAGCTTGCTGTGAAGGTCTCTCTCTCCAGGGCTGTCTACAAACCAGGTAGCTTACATTAATGGGTTACATTATAGGGTGCAGGTTGGCTGCTGGGTGGGAGTAGGATACTGATTAATTGGCTGAAAAGAGCTTGTGGGAAGGGAGGTTCTAGAGAGACATCTTCTGTTAGAGAAGATCTGGCTTGGGAAATAGCATCTTTTTCTGGTCTGAAGCACCCACAGAAATGATTCTGTTTTCCTTCACGTGAGTTGGGATGAGGTTGAAGGAAATCCAGGTCATTAGGAAGCTCTTCTATGGGCTGTTTCTGTTCCCTCTGAACCTCAGAGTCTCCCTAATCAGCCCTTCCTGTTTCTTCCTAATGTGAAATCTCTTGAAACCTTTCTCCCTTATTTGCTTTATTTTTATTCATAGCACTTATTTATTTGCTCCCTGTTCAGCTCAAAAAAGTAAGGTCCACTTGGCAGGGATTTGGGGCTGTTTTGTTCATTGCAGTATAACGTGAGTAGAACAGTGCCTGATAACGCAACAGGTGTTCAATAAATATTTGTTGAATTAATGAAAGAAACTATATTGTCCTTTAAACTGCAATTTTGAACCTGGCAAGTTTAGAGAAACAATTATTTTTGGGGTGGTTAGCAACATGAGATAAGAGGGGGTCTACATAGGCATTCAAGTGAAAGTGCTTTTCTTCTAAAGTAATATCCACCAGGTAGTAGGTGCCTCCCTACTGTAGCCAGTTGGCCACCTCTCTTCCCTCCCCTTCTCTCTTTGTTCTACCTCCCATCACTGCATTTCAGCCACTTAACGCACAGTGTGGTTGCTTGTGACAGATACCCGTATTGACTGATCTGTATCCCTGCTCTTAGAAGTTTTTGATTGACCCTCTAGACTGCACCATCAGAAGCTTACTTCTTAAGCTTTTTCCGTTTCTGAATAAGCAAATCTTCATTGCATTGAAACAGCAGGGTGTAGTGTGAGATAAATACTCGGAGGCGCTGAACACACACCAGTAGTAGATAATAATCGGGGTGTTCCTGCTCTGTGAACTTCAGGACATTCTGGATGAAGGAAAAAAAGAAGCAGCGTTGCATAATTAGAATGAAAAGTTGTTTTGTCTCTTCTGTACCTTACCTTGATCTTGATCTATTGTGAGAGTTTAGTAGCCATTTAAGTAAAACAACTAATAACAATACTTATGACCCATCTAATTATAAGCCGAAAGGTCAGACTTGCTGCTCTTTGTTACACAAAAGGAAAGAAAATAAGTCATTATTGTTCCTGTTTAAGTTGGATGTGAACATAAAATAATTCAATCTGAAGTTAGAAATATCTACTAATTAGATCTCTGAAGTATCAGAGGCATTCTAACAATTACTATCTATAAGCGATTCCTTAAACAGGTCAGACTGATGGTGAGAACATCAGTCCTCAGGGCAGGCTGGGGTGGGGGGTGAGGACGTTTATGATCAAGCCTGGCCTGCTGGCCCCTCCTATTGCCTACTGTGCTATAGTGGAGCACGCATGTGACTTGAATTTGGGAAAGCTAACATTATTGAGTACTTCCTATTGTCAGCCACTAAGCTCTTTACATATGTTATCTCATTTAATTTTTACCACAGCCTGGTTAGATAGGTACAATTATTACCTCCATTTAACAAATAAGGAAATCAAGGCACAGAGAAGTGATCCTCTTTAGATCACACATCTAGTGAATAATGGAAGAAGGATTTGAACTCAAACACTAGAACCAGAGCTTATTTACCATACCCTACTGCTTGCAAGACCTGGGTTTCAGTCTTAGTTTTTTCACCTGCTAGGCATGTTAACTTGGGCAAATTACTTAACTTCTTTGGTCCTCCATTTCCTCATCTCAAAAGTGGTAACAATCATACCTATTTCATGAGATTGTTGAAAGGATTAAATGAGATAATTATTGTTAGAAAATGCTTTTAGTATCTAAAGCCATATGCAATTGAAAGACTTTTTAATATTGATATTGGGCTACTTTTACCTGAGATTAATCCCAAGCATTTCTAAGATGCTTTCACTGAATTATTTTAAATCAGCCAGCAATTAAAACAGAACAGGTGGGTAGTGGGAAGAAGAGGAGCTGGTAGGGGGTGGTGAGCCTCTCAACTCTACTTCCTCCAAGATGCCCTATGGGAAAATGGTGTGGAGAAGTCAGCTCATCAGCTTCCTAATGCCTCTTCTGTGATATAAAGCATAAGTGTGGTGTGGTAGAACCTTGGACCCAAGGCAAAAGTAAGTAGTTGGGATAGCAGATAAGTGGGCATGTTAGATCGATATTTAGATGCCAGGGGATGACATTTAGATGGCTATAGAACCAAAGCGGGAGGGACTGCATAAGGTGCTCGGAATCTAGCAGGAATGAATGGTTATAGAAACATCCTGGATCAGCAGAGGTAGAGATCACCGGTAAAGAAAGATAGAACTTCAAAGGTAGACATCACGAGCCGAAAATTTCCAGAGATAGAAATTTCAGCTTCTAACAGAGTATGATGGGTTTTGGGGTAATCCTAACAATCTAAGCTATGTCAATAAATACTTCTTAGAAATATTAATGATTCCTTGAGCCTTTACAGTATTTCTCAATTGGAAGCCAAAAACAAAGTTTAGCATGAAAATCACTTTGGTGGTTTGCCCAGCCATGCCTACCTGCAGATGTATCAGATATTCAGGGATGCGCTGGACTATGTGAAAAAACAGTGTGTAGATGTCAGATTTAATTTCTTCATCACCCTGAATGAAAGAAAGGTGGAGTCACTCTTCAGTATCCCTTCAGCTCTGGCAGCAGAACCCCAGAGTTGGCCCCACCAGAATAGGAAGGGTTTACTCCCAGAGCATCTTCTTCCCAGAGACTGTCATCAAACATTGATCTCTTATTGGAGAGACCATATGTCTTCTCTAGTACGGAGCTTATCATATATGAGGGTGTTTCAAAAAGTTAGTGGAAAAACTGAATTAAAAGATAATAATGAATCTTTGCATTAACTTTTTGAAGACCCCTCATACTCTTTTTTAATCCACCCCAATTTCCAAACTACCCTCTCCTTTCCCTCATCTTAGCACAGTGCTAGACAGAAGTGGACACTCAATAATATTTGAGTTGAATCCATTCATTAAGATTCTCCAGCAAGAAATCATTAAAATGGTTTACTAATAGGTTCTAAGGGTGAGTTGGAGCCTTGTGAGAATTGGGAAGGGAGTAATTAGAAACTGATCGGGTGGCCTGGCAGCAGAAAACATGTTGGACTTTTTCTGTGTCCCCTCCGTTTCCTTCTCTGTCTTTCCCAGATATTTGCTGAATGCTAACATGTCAGGCTTGCGAGTAGGTCGGGAGTAGTCGGGGGTTGAAGTAGAAAGTTAATTAGACGAAGCCTCTCATCTCTTGTAAAACTTGATTAATTCTCAGCGTTGGGACTCTGTTACTGTCTTTTTTTTTTTTTTACTGACCTAAAATAACTAGAATTGTTACATATTTGTATGTAGTTATTGAGCACCTAATGTATCACTGCAGTAGCAATATTTAAAGGAACGCAGCTAGAGCCACTTTATAATCTTATAAACTAACAGACAATGGATGACTTGAGTTTTATATTCAGATTCATATCTTCTGAGCCTGAAAAAGAAAAAAAGAAGACACCACATACACCATGCAAGCTGCAGCCTGAAGATCTCTGTGTAGAACATCTGTTCACTTTGTAGTTCTGATGGAATGGAATGGAGGGTCAGTAGGCAGGGCAAAGACAAAGCAATGGCACTGACCCTTGACTGGGCTCCTTTAATCCCAGGCACGAGTAAATGCAGTGGCTCTTTCCAGACCATTTTCCAGCCTGGAAAACAAGCTCAGAGTGCATGTGCGGTATCAACTGGGTGGATGAGTAACATCATATAGATAACTTGTGTAAACAAAGGACAGCACATACATAGAGTTAACTCACCTCCTTCAGAACGACAACATGAACCAATGCAATGCATTCAGGCAGGTCCCTTAGGTAGGCGACATAATAATCCAAGAAATTATTCTTTAAAACAAACATAAAAATGCATGGTTAGAACCTCGAAACAGGAATGATAATATTTTTACAGAGCCATGTATTTTGAAAAGAAGTACTTTGCAGAAATCTGAATCATTCATTTAACATGTACTTTAATATCTTTTTGGGTTTTATTCATCTTTTTTAAAAAACCTTTTTGGTTTTAAAGTAAACATCCCTACAGTTTGGGAACCAAAACTCAGTAGCCATGGCTTAATGAGAGAAAGTGAAATAATAAACCAAGGGAAGAGGGAGGCTCATGTAAGTTAAAGAAGTATTTTTAAATTGTTAAGTAATAAAAATGCATATTTTGTTTTTGTAATTTCTTTTCATTTCAATCATTACTTCCAAATGAGAAACTTTACCCAACCCATCTCATATTATCTAGACCAGTGGTTCTCAATGTTTTCTATTAGTTGCATATTGACCTATGCAGCATCTCTTCAGGAAAACGATTTTTAGCTTTCAAAGTTGTATTCCCATAGGTATAATAATTCTCAGCTCCAGGAAGCATACAGTATACAAATGTGTAAAAGTGATATTGGAGGGATAGCATTTGATGGAGTTTGGATGTATTGTCCTCCCAGAACTTGTGGAAATCTGATCCCTAGTGTGACAGTTTGAGTCCCTCATGAATGGATTACTGCTCTCCCTTGGTGGGGGGAGTAATGTGTGAGTTCTCACTCCATTAGTTCCCGCAAGAGCTGGTTGTTTAAAAGACCCTGGCACCTCCTCTCTCTCTCTCTTGCTTCCGCTTGCCATGTGATCTGCTTGTACCTGCCGTCGGCTGCCATTTTCCACCATGAGTAGACGCAGCCTGAGGTCCATTCCTTTCCGCTTGTACCTGCCGTCGGCTGCCATTTTCCACCATGAGTAGACGCAGCCTGAGGTCCATTCCAGATGCAGCTGTCCCAGAATCATAAGCCAAATAAACCTCTGTTCTTTATAAATTGCCCAGTCTCAGGTATTTCTGTTATAGCAACACAAAATGGACTAATACAGCATTTCATCCATTTTAATCTATACGAGTAAATAATTAGTAAGCTTTGTATTGTTACCCACAGTTGAGAACCATTGATATACAGAAGTCGATTGTAGGCAAAATCTGGCTACAATCAGACTGATTTTAATTAGCCCACACAATATTTTAAAAATAAAATTTCACACAATACTCTGGATTCCCAGGTTTTCTTAAAATATCAGAAAATCTGGCAACTCTAGTCCTTTTTTCCTGCATAATAACTGGATAAAGCTGTTCCTTGTAGAAATACATATGTGCTTCACTTGAGCGCACTTCCCACCAGTCCATGTTGTGTTACATTCTGCTCAGTCCACTCATTTACATCACTGTCTGACCCTGTATGCATTTGAGTTTGCAACTTCTGGCCTAGACAATATTTACTTTGTAGAACATTATAGAGATTTCAAAACTTAGCACCCTTTCTCCAAGGAAGCAAAAACAAAAAACATTCAAGACAAATAGCCACCCATCACATTTTTTAAAATCTCTAATGAATGAAAATTATGTGTGAAAATACAAACCCTTATATTTATTTTATATGTATGAATGGATATACAGTATATGTGTGTGTATACAGTATATGTGTGTGTCATGCACCACATAATGACATTTCAGTCAATGACAGACTGCATATCTGATGGTGGCTATACCATAAGTTTAGATGTGTAGTAGGCTATCCCATCTAGGTTTGTGTAAGTACATTCTGTGATATTGGCACACAACAAAATCACCCGACTCATTTCTTAGAACGTATCTCCATCGTTAAGCAATGCTTGACTCACATAATCACATACACACATACACATGCATACTCAGTGGAGGCAGTTGTAGTACAGTGTAGAGTTATGAACTGTTAGTTAGAAGATATAACAGGGCTTAGTCACAGATCTCCACCTACCTAGCTAGCTGGGTAATTCTAGCAGTCTTTTAATCTCTTTGAGCCTTACTCCATTATCTGTAGAATGGAGAGGCGGTTCCTCTAGCTCCAAAATTCACTGATTCTAGATTCTCCACTAAGAGAAGCAAATGAGTGAGACACAGATTCATATAATTAAAGTTTATAGAGGGGGAAATAAAAAACCTTACCTCATCATTTGTTAACTTAAGGAATAAATCTCCAAGGACTCCTTGACGTGGCCACTTCAGGACCCTTTCCTGCAGTGCATGAAGCAAATCCAGGTGCTGCTGGACAATGTACCGTAAAGAGCCAGGAAAGAGGCTTGAAACAGAACATGGATAGAATCACACAAACCAGGTGTAGAAAAGAAAAGACCCTACAAGAATATATGCAGCAGATCCCATTTCCCCAGTCATCCAAAATACTCCGAGTAACAGGTCTGCATTTAGGATTTTTTTTTAAAAGTTTGTCATTGTAGACCTCACAGCAGATATCCCCAGACTATGAGAAAACCCTTTTACTGATGCGCCTGTACAAACGTCTGTTGAACTAATAAAGAGCACATCACTTGAATGACCTTTTTAAAGCTAACGAGTTCACTCTCATTTATATGACACTCAGTGGAAATTCTAAGGGAAATCTTTTTCAATGTTTGAAAGTTATGCCCATGTGATGTTGAAAATAATCTGTTCTAATTAGAGCTGTAGATTAAGGTGACTTTGGTCATTCTTAATGACCTGCGCAGGAGACTGCTACTTAGATAAGTAAGAAATTTTGCTTAAAGCTGGCAACTAAAAGCCCAGGGGGTTGGAGGTATGAAAGGGTTCCTTTTTGCCTTTCCTTCAGTTTCTAAGAGGAATATTGGGCAAGGACAGAGTCTTGCCTGGGTAGGCCACAGACCAGGCCTGGCCTGCTTCTCCCTGGAGCTTCATAGAGCCCCTCTCCTACCCTCACATTCCTCTGCTCCGTCTCTCCATGTGCCTCATTTTTTTCCAGAGGAAATGAAGGGAGGAAGAGAGAAGTCAGAGAAGGGTGGGGTGGAGAGGAGAGATAGAAAGAAAATCATAGGAGGAGAAAGGGTCTGGATGGAGAAGGGTGAGATGGTCGGGAGCCTATAGAAATGAGGAAGGAAGGAAGAGAAGGCAATGGAGTTGTGCTGGGCTACAGCAAGGATTTGAGCTCTAACGTGGTGACTTAGGGGAACTGAAGGCAGGTTCCCTTGTGTTTTCAACACCACAGGTTTAACAGAGATGAAAGTGATGGCCAGCTTGTCACTGAGAGCTGAACTTGTTTAAATATTTCCCCAGGATCTAATGAGAGTAAATAGTGAACAACTGGGACTTTTGTTGGAACAATAAGGAGATCAGATTGAGAGGAGGTTTTTTTCAACCCATTTCCATGCAAAGCAAAGGATCCCCTGTAGCTATAGGTCAGAGAAGACACACAAACACCAGAAGAGGGTACCTAGCCCCCTATGAAAATATACAAGGAAACCTTCCATTCCCACTTTCAGTTTTGTCCCCTTCACCTACTATGCCATGAATCTTCACCTATGCAAAGCCAGCTGATCCATAACACAAGACAAGGGGCCTCAATCTGAGCTCTTATGGACAGAGCAGTGGGCTAGGAAGATCTAAGTAGTCCCTGTCCAGGGGTGGCTAGTAAACACATTAATTGGGGGAAGACGTAAACATGACAGAGGAAAGCACACCAAATCGTACTGAAAGAGCAAAATACTATATCAGCAAAAGATCCACATGTGAAAGATTTCTCCCACCCAGAGGCTATAAATGACTTTGGGTAAAAAATATTCCTGATGTGACACGGAATGATGTTAGGCCACCATGGTGAGATCTGACTTTGTGATGAGTTATCTGTACGGGCTATGTAACATGTCTTGGATTATCTCTTTTCCTCTCTTTCTCTCTCTCTTTCTAGAAAGCTGCCTTCTGCTACACTGTACTTGCAGCGTTGGAGAGCTGGTATCAACTTCTCCTGCACTATTCACTGGGATAATTGAGATTACAGAGTGGAATCAAAGGAGGCTAATGCTCCCATGCAGTGTTGTAGAAACACGTAGGTTACATGGTGAGCAATGACCTACAGTGGATTCCATACCAGATATTGAAAACAGGCTTTAAATTTTTTTTATTTAATAAGACTATTATTTGAAATGAGGGAGGAGTGTGGAGGGTTGAGGTAGAAGATGGAGAGCAGAGGGAGAAAGAAGGAAAAAGTGCAGACACAACCTATGTCACTGTTTTGCCTAGTGCCAGACCTGACTCCCAGATCAGCTTTTTCATGAAGACAAAAGTATTAAGGGCTCAGCTTTTTTTTCTATTCCTTATAGGAGGTGATATTACAGCAACATAAGCAGTTTATTCTTTCTAAAGCCTTCAAAGTTATTTCAGCTCCCAACAATATAGTACTTAACCAGTGAGGAAAATAAACTAAAAGCCATCAAGGAAAATCCAGTTATAGTTTCAGATTAATAACTTAGCTCTTGCCAGTCCAGTATTAGGCCAAAATAACTCCTGAGCTTCAGCAGCAGCAGATTACAATCATGTGTGCTGGGCATTGGTAACAAAACATATGTCACTTAGTGGTGATCTGTAGTACAAAGCCTGCTGAGCTCTTGGCGCATGTGGCACAGGAGTTTAGCTTATAACTTAGCTAAGTGTCAACCCTGCCAAGCTGCTCATGGCTCCTCCCCACAATGTTCAGACAGGACTGTTTGATCCTGACGTTGTGGCTCTAACTGGGTGAATAAGACCCAAAAAAGCTCAGAACTCCAGCTTCTGTCATCTTCCAGCAAATGAGCAATGGCCCCCAAGTTCTGCCCAGGCTTCAGCAGGCAGCAGGTGCCAGGCAGCTTCCAGCCCTCTCAGCCAGGGGCGGGGCTAGCTTGAAACAGGCTGAGGGGGCTCTTGAGCACTTCATTTTTTTCTAGAGAAAACCCAGCGTTTTATAGGTTTGAGAAGATGTGGCTGCCTCAGGTTTGAGTGTCAAGGTGTAGTTGCAGTGGGTGTTATTTTCATCTCAGGTTAGTTTTCAACAGGGTAGAAAGTGCTGAAGGCTATGGTTTGTGATGGGAAGCGAAGTAAATGTTAATAAATCTATTTTCATCTTTGCATGGAGAAAAATGCAAATAGGGAAAAGGAACCATCTCATTCTGCTCTGCATTTTATTCAGCTGGTCTATTTAAAGCACACAAAGAGGTTTCAGATACGCTTAGAGAAAAAGAGGAAATATAGCGAGTGAAGGAGGATAATGAAAATCTAACCATAAGGTGGAAAAATGGCAACACCAACAAGCCCAGAAGCAGACTTCACATTTAGTACAATCTAAGAGTATTGGAGTGAAGCTTTAGGGTTGAAGTCTATCTATGAAAAGAAAAAAGAGGCTTAGCTTAGCAAATAACTAACATGAATAGCACTATCATGGATATGATGAAATATGAAATAACTATTACCTTAACTTTCATGGAGGATTGTATTCTAGTTCTCAATTTTTTACTCTTGTAGGATTTGGGAGAGAGATCCACTCCTTCCTCAGTGATGGGTCATGAAAAAACATCTTAGAAAAGTAGGAAGCGACAGCAGGACAAAAAGGGCTTGATTATTCAGCAAGCTGAGACTGCATGTAGTACCCTATTTGGCAAGCCAACTGAGATTTGAAGTAAGCACTCACAGGATGTTCAAGAGGGAAGCCTGAGTTTTCACATAGCAAGAGACAGAAATTCATACTTCTGGCTATCTGAGAAACTTAACATATTGCTTATTGTTAGTCAAGGTGGTGTCCTTGAAACCACAGGGTCTTAGAGAAGCTGTGATGTGAAGCATGCAAGGCACAGAGCCAGACAGGCCTGGATTTGAAGTCTGGCCTAACTGGCTGTATGGCTTTAAACTTCTCTGGATCTTAGTTTCTTCATTTGTGGGGTAGGATTCACAGGGTTGTGATCAAGATTTTAAGAAGTTATAAATCAAGTGCCTTGCATAGGGCCTGGTTACTATGTTCCAGAGTAAACAGTTCTCTATTTCTCTTTCTCCACCCTTGTCTCCCTCCCCAAATTTTCAGAGAATAGGAGGAGATGCAGCTGTCTTACTTAGAATCTTAGATGCAGAAGCGAAGCCACACCAGAAGGTAGACTCGCCTTTAGACGTGCTTTATGTAAACTGAGCAGGTCTTTGGCAACAGCAAGATAGCTGGTGGCTGCAGAGACTTTCCCAGAGGCCTGAAGGGGCAGCTAGGAGGGTGAGACAAGCAGGATTGGGGTCTTGGAGGGGGAAGAAAGTGGTTGGATGGGGAAGGAAAAAGCAGCAAGAATCTGGGGGGCCACTGAGAGAAGGCAAAGCCCCCTGCCCAGCGCCTCTGCTGGTCCCAGCTTCAGCTGTGTCACACTGCCCTTGCCATCCTTGCTGCTTTGTATTGTGTCGACCTCAGATTGTCAGTAAAATAATTCTTGAAGATAGTCAAGCCACTGTGGGTTTGTCGGGAAATATTTCCTCACCTCAGTCATTTAGGTAGGGGGAGCGTTCTCTTTTAGTGACTGGGTATATTGCTGGCAGCTGCAAAGTCAAGTAAAATTGGGGGTGGTAAAGAACAGGAGAGTATATAATTAGAGGCTTCCCGAGGTAGATTTATAATTTATAAACCACCAGCGTGTGTTATCTGATGGACTATTTAAAGTAATAATGCTACTTTTGTCCATAATAGTCCATAATCCAGACCTTCCATTCATTTGAATTGACCTTTTTACTCAGTTATTCTGGTTTGTTACATCTTCCTTTTTCATCAAGTCTTACTTTCCTCCTTCCTGCTTTCTCCTGACAGAGAGGGAAGCAGAGAAAATCTATGATGGAAATTGAGGAGTGTTGTAACATTGGGGCTAGCATGCTGTTTCAATACATTGCTGACCCTCTGCAAGCTTAGCCCCAAATATATGTGCACACACACACACACACGCTTTCTCCTGACAGAGAGGGAAGCAGAGAAAATCTATGATGGAAATTGAGGAGTATTGTAACATTGGGGCTAGCATGCTGTTACAATACATTGCTGACCCTCTGCAAGCTTAGCCCCAAATATATGTGCACACACACACACACACTCTCATACATTACTTGGTACTATGGGATCACCGGAACAAATCATAAGAAAAGTCCAAGTCCAGAGCTCTATCAGCCCTGTAGCATTTATCTCATGGCCACTTAGTGCTTCAGACCTCCACCACATCCATCTCCTTGTACCTCTGTTAGACCCGTGACCCATGGGGATGTGCAGATGGCAGCAGAGAGCAATGCCGCTCTCATTGTAGAATTTATTCTCCCTTTAAGTTCTTAACACATACGTCTGGGACACTGCAGGCCCAGGAGACTATACTGTGCTCATTTTCTTACCTGCTGTATATCTAAGTTTGAGACTTGCCAGGGGTTACCTGCCATCACTGCAAATTCTCTTTTCAAAGACTATTTCTGGAACTCTTTATAGGCGCCAGAATTCCCAAAGTGGAAACATAAACAACTTACCTTAGATCCTAATCAATCTGAAAAGCAAAGGCAATGAATACATGGATACCTTCTCTCTTTGGAATTCCTCTTTCCATCTGACCCCTGGAATGTTGCCTTTATCTTCAGGATCAGAGAGATGTTAATGACATATTTTCTTTCGGATTCAAGCAGTTCTAGAGCCACAGTCTGTCTTTTAGCTTTAAAAACAAACCAAAGAAGGAGTTTTTGTTAACCACTGCTTCCCAAAATCCTATGAAATGACAGAAAGCAATAAAAAGCAATAAAAGGATATTGAAAGTAATAAAAAGAGACATCAGCAAGTTTTTGGAAGATCAGAAAGCAGAATGGAGATACGGTAATTCATTCAGTAGAGTGAAGGGCACAAAATCTTGGTGTTTCTGCCTGCAAAAGGGTAATCTGCTAAGAAGCAGCAGAAAGGCTCAAGGATTGGAGACACCAGGCACCAAAGAAAGTTCAAATAATGGGCAATGCTGAAAATAGGAGAAATAGCTGAAAGTCTACATAAGGTGCAATTTAATCTCCAGATCCTCATCTCCATGCCAGATAGCTTCCTCACTTCCACCCCATGGAAAATGGGAAAAATGAAACTAGAGAAGCTCTGGTGTCTAGGATATGTGCTCAAGACTGCAGATAACAGCAGTGAGAAGAGTTGAGACACCAAAATGAAAACAAGGGGATTCCTAGAAGGCTAGCATTCTGAACAGTGAGACTCCCTTAAGCCTCCTTTCCTTATGGGTTCCAGAATGCCAGCAGCTGGGCTTAACTCTCCAGCCAGGAGATTGGAGGGTCTTCCCCATGAGAAACTGAAGAACTGCCAAAGGGAAAAAGACCTATAGACACTGACATAAAGAGGTTACCTATCAAAAAGTTAATCACCACTTGATTAGCCTATCTATAATGAAGCCCACTTAGTGACAAGCTTAGCCAAGAGAATTTCCAGGGTTTTTTAAAGGTCTCTCTCTTACTTGTAAATAACTCCTAAGGATACTCAGATATTTGAGTAAAACTTACACCATAAAAGAAAGAGAAGGAAAAAATATATACACATACATTTTTTTTTAAAAAAGGTGGGGAGGAACAGAAAGGAACAGAGACAATGCAGGATACAAAAGAAAAAAAAATTTTAATCTTATAATTAATATAACCAAAGAGATAAAAGAAAAATATTCCAGCTGTTTAACAATTATAGGATGCTATTTTTAAAAAGAGAAAACAATCCAAGGAGAAGGAGGGGGAGGGAGAAGAGTAGGAGAAAGAGGAGGGGGAGGGGAAGGAGGAGGAAGAGAATGAAGAAGAAATTTTTTGACATTTTTTAAAAGTTGGCAAAAATTACAAGATATGGAACCAGCATAAATGTCCATCAACCAACAACCAAATAAGAAAAGTGTGATACATATATACAATGGTATACTACTCAGCTGTAAAAAAGAATGAAATTCTACCATTTGCAATAACATGCACAATGGTATACTACTCAGCTGTAAAAAAGAATGAAATTCTGCCATTCATAGCAACATGGATGAGCATGGAGAAAACCATGTTAAGTGAAATATGCCAGTCACAGAAAGAGAAATACTGCATGTCCTCATTCATATGTTGGAGCAAAGAAAGAAAGAGAGAGAGAGAGAGAGAGAGAGAGAGAGAGAGAGAAAGATCACAATAATATGAATTTTCAGNAGAGAGAGAGAGAGAGAGAGAGAGAGAGAGAGAGAAAGATCACAATAATATGAATTTTCAGAAGGAGAAAACAGAACTGTGGTTACAAGAGGTGAGAAAGAGGGAGAGGGAAGGGGTTAGTGAGAAACTGGTTAACAGACACAAAGAATGATTATGTTTTGTAATGACAAATATGCTAATTATCCTGGTTGGATCATCACATATTGTACACAAGTACTGATAGCTAACTCTGTACCCACAAATATGTATAATTGATTATGTGTCAATAAAAAAAAATAACATGGCAAAAGTTAAAAGAGTAGAAGGTAAAGTCAAGGCAATCTCCTCCCACCATTTGCCAAAATAAAAAATCTAAGAAGAAAGATATAGGGAAGAAAAATAGAAGAGAAAGAGATGACAGTTGAGAATATCATCCAGGAGATCCAACATCAAATTAGAATTTTCAGAGAAAAGAAAGAAAATGGATGAGAAGATATTAACCAATTAATAATAGAAAAAAAAAATCCCAGTATATGTATTTTAGAGGAAAGAGCCCATTGTGCTCAGCATAATTAATGGAAAAGACTCTCACATCAATGTAAGACACACCACATTAATGTGAGACTTTAGCACACCAAGGATAAAAAGAATATTCTAAAAGTTACCAGAAAGAAAAATCAAGTAACATACAAAGGACTGGGGATCAGAATGGTATTAGACTTTTCGACAGCAACATTAGACGCTAGAAGACAATGGAACAATTGCTTCAAAATGATGAGGGAAAATGATTTTATATTAAGCCAAATTATCAACCAAGTATGTAAAAGTTACTGGTTGATGTGTTCCAT